CTCGACTCGATCTAGATCATTTTATTTTTTTGACTCGTGGTTCGATCTCGATCATTTATATTTGATTTTGGCTCGATCCAGATCATTTTATTTTTTTTGACTTGAGGTTCGATCCTGATTACTCGTTTCAATCTCGATTTGATCCAAATCATTTTATTTTTCTAACTCGCGATTCAATCTTGATCACTCTTTTTTGATCTCGGCTCGGTCCAAATCATTTTTATTTTTTTGACTCGCGGTTCAATCTTAGCACTCCTTTATATCTTAGCTAGGTCCAAATCATTTTATTTTTCTGACTCATAGTTTGATCCCGATCACTTATTTCGATCTTAGCTTGGTCTAGATCATTTTATTTTATTTTTACTTACAATTCGATCTTGATCACTTATTTCGATCTCGACTTTTGACTTATAGTTCAATTTTGGTAACTTATTTTTGATCTTGGCTCGATCCAGATCATTATATTTTTTTAACTTGTGGTTCAATCTCGGTCACTTGTTTCGATCTCGACTCGATCTAAATTATTTATTTTTTTGACACATGGTTTGATTCCCGTCACTTATTTTGGTCTCGGCTCAATTAAAATCATTTTAATTTTTTGACTCACGACTCAGTCTCGATCATCTTTATTTTGGCACCCTCATTGACTTTTGACTTTGATTTAGTTCAGTCATTTTCACATTCTAATTTGACTTTGTCCGAATTATTTTAACTTTGAATTTCGATTTGATTTTTCAAACCCGAACAAAATGGATGTCTTTTGTCTTTGTGCAATTCCTGTTTCATAGAAACTGTGCAAAAAGGGATAATTATAAACATCCCATTTTGTCTGAAATTTTTTTGGGGATAAAAAAACAAAGCTTCGGGCCCAATAGAAAATTTTTCAATTTTAATTTGGTTTGATTTAATTTTTCTTGTTTTAAAAAAAAGTCAAAGAGAGAGAAAGAGAGAAAAATAAAAAAAAATGAGTGATTTTAGCTTGATTCATGCAAACCTGTAAAAGGAAAAACTTAAAATCAAATTACAAATTACAAAATTACAATAAAATCATAATTAATTTGATTTATTTTTCAAAATTAAAGGGATTCAATCCTTATAAATAAACATAAACCACATACATAAGGGATGATTAATATATATATATATATAATACAGATACTCTTAAGAAAAAAAAAAGTGGGAAAAAGATTATATAGAAACTCTAGAGAGAAAAGTGAGAAATTTGTCTAGCAACCAAGAGATTTTAGATTATGGGTTTGATTTGTTTTAAATTTTCTAGAATTAGGATTTAATGTTTTTAGGTTTGAATTTCTATAGGGTTTTACATTATAGGGATTTTTGGGATTAGTTTTTTGGACCTGACCCTTAACGTAACTTAGTTTTGACCCATTCTCCCGTCTACTGCAATAAGTTGAGTTGCACTGGAAGTCGAGTTCCAAGCCACTTGAGTTGATTTGTGCCTATAACTACCTTCTTCAATTGCCAAGCCAAGTCAACTACAGGTAATTTTACTTTTCTTTATAGGTTATTTTATTTATTTATTCATTCTTTTATTTATTTGTCTATTGTTTTTGGTATTCTTAAAAAAAAATTTATATAACAAAATAAAAATTTAAATAAAAGCTTTACTAATAGATTGGAAGGCTATCATTTAAAAACAAAAAATGTTTTACCAACATATTGGAAAACCTTATAATTTTATTTATTTCAAAAAAATATATAAATAAAAAAATATTACCAACAGATTGGAGAACTTCATAATTTAATTTTAAAAAATTTATTGTTAATAAAATATTTTTTATTTTATTTTATCAAACTATTGGAGGATTTGCATTTTAAATTAAATCATACCAAACTATTGAAAGATTTAATATATTTTCAAAAATAATCTTATAATAAAATCTCATTAAATTATTGAGAGATTTGCATCAAAGTAAATCTTTTTAAACTATTAAAAAATTTAACTAATTATTTCTTTTAAATTAAATCATATCAAACTATTGAAAGATTTAATATATTTTCAAAAAATAATCTTATAATAAAATCTTATTAAACTATTGGGAGATCTGCATTAAAGTAAATCTTTTTAAACTATTAAAAAATTTTACTAATTATTTCTTTAACTAAAATTTAAATCCGACAATAGAGCCTTTTTAGGGTAGAACACTAGTCTCTATTAATACTCTTAAGGTGAGAGAATTATTTTAAATTGCTACCAAATTATTAGAGTAATTTTAAGATTAATTTTTAATATTAAATATTTTTATAAATCATAAATATGATTAAGACTTGGATAATTTGAAATCAAATTGGTACTATTATTTAAATAGGCGCTATGAGGGTGCTACAATATTCTTCACATGTAACTATACTCTCAAATGTGAAATATGATTTTGTGGACTAAAATATACTATTTAAAAATATATAAATCAATTTTGTGACTTTTTTTTAAATATGACAGATTCGATTGGGTGGCTAATCACACTTTAACAAAAAAAATTAGTGATTACTCTTTTAATCTATGTTTAATGATAAGTTTACGAATTTATATGTTATGACACCGAGTGAAGGATATTGTAATTTTATAGGAGAATATAAGCATAGTAAAAGTTGAAACAATTTTTTTAAGAGACATCAGTTTTTTGGGTTGCCTAACATATTCTTTTTTGGGGTAAGATCAAACAATTACTTACATTGTGCTCAGCGAATTCATGAAAAATTATTTTCTCATAATCTTTTAGCTAATTTAAACCCATATAATAAAAAAAAGAATAAGTTTTCTCTACCATTTGAATTAACCATTCGTTACTATGTTTAAACAATTTTGTATGAGCATCCAGCAATTCTCGAGGCCACAATTATTGCCAGGCCAGATAAACATTGGGGACATACCCCTTATACATTTGTGAAGTTAAAAGAGGGGTTTGATGTCAATGCTTAAGAACTAATCAGGTTTTTCCAATTTCACTTACCCCATTATATAGTTCCCAAAACAATGATCTTTAAGGAATTGCCAAGAACTTCAACCGGAAAGATACAAAAGTGTAGGACAAATTCGATAAGCATATCCTCTCATTTTTTACTTTCTCATTTTCTTTTTCATTTTGTAATCTTGTGATTGATTACCGTTACCAAAAAGAGGTAACGGTGTTAAATAAATAAGAAAAAAAATCAATATCCTTATTATTAATTCAAATTTTTAAATTCATTTGAAACATTAAAAGTACTTAAAAACCTCATTTATTTCCCAACTAACTCAATCCTTACTACCTGAACCACTCTACCCAAATCCTCTGGCGTGACTCCCTTCATCCCATCAACCTCATAGAAAAAAACATAGTTTCAATGAATCAAAATCACTTATAATAAGAAAAAACACCAAGTGAAAAATCTAAGGGGTCGTTTGGAATTGTTTTGTGTTTTATGGTTTTGAAAATTTTGTTTTGTTTTGTTTTATTTTTAATTTATTGAATTTGAAAACATGTTTAAATAAAATATTTTTTATTGTAGAAATGTAAAAACAAAAACATACAAGAAAAAGTGGGTTAAAGTTTTGACAACTTTAAAGGATGAGGTTCGATTGTAATCCAACGGGTGAACAATGTCAGTGCAATAATAGTACTAACATATTTTTATTCGTAATTTTCAAAAATATTAAAAATAAAAACAAAATTTTATTTTTAACTTTCAAAAATATTAAAAATAAAAAAATAATAACAGATTTTTATTTCTAATTTTAAAAATTATTAAAAATAAAAACAAAAAATAGAAACAGAGCAATAACAATACCAACATATTTTTATTTCTAATTTTCAAAAATATTAAAAATAAAAATAGAAGAATAGAAACATTACCAAACGATCCCTAACTTTTCCCACCTTTTAGGAACATCTTTTTATTTTTAATTTTCAAAAATATTAAAAAGAAAAAGAAAAAGGTAAACAGTTTTTTATTTCCAATTTTAAAAAATATTAAAAATAAAAACAGATATTTATTTTTAATTTTCAAAAATATTAAAAATAAAAAGAAAATGGTAACCAAACGGATGAATAATGCCAGTGCAATAAAAATACTAATATATTCTTATTTCTAATTTTTAAAAATATTAAAAATGAAAGAAAATAGTAAACAGATTATTATTTTTTATTTTCAAAAATAATAAAAATAAAAATAGAAAATAGAAAATAGAAATGCTACTAAACGACCCCTAAGTTTTCCTGACCTTTTAGGAATCTTAAAAATACATAGTATTGAAGCAAAGTTTCAACTTCCATATTAGTAGTATATAAATTGAAGAAATTTCATGTTCTACTTGAAAGAAGCAATGGGTTCGATTTTACCATATTCACTTAGAGGAGGTGGTGGGTTAAGAACAGAGACCTCATCAAGAGCTGATTTTGAAACAAAGCTTCTCTTCTTTTGAGGATGCCTGTTAATTTTAACAAGAAAAGGAAATCCTTACTGGAGAAAGAAGACAGGATAGACGTTGGAGTTTCCAGGAGAGAAGTTAAAGAAGTCATGGCTTCTAGTTCTGGTTGCTTTGCTTGCCAACGATAAGAAGAGATGTGTTTTTTTAAAGGGGTTCCGGTTTGTCTGTACTCTAGACGGTGACAGGTAGGAATAAAAGAGGAAGGGAAAAGGAAGGTGAGAACCGACAGCTGCCAATGCAGAGGTGGTGGCACCTGGCCCATTTTTGGAATTATTGGTGGTCGGCGTCTGGGTTTTTAGAGGATTTAGGGAGAGAGAAAGCATAGAGAGAGAAAATTGAAACAAAAATGAAGGGAGCGGTTTAGCTTTAGGGTATTTTAAGGATTTTATAAATATTTAGATTAAATTTGAGTCCGTTACTCTCTTTTGGTAATAGTAATCAACCAAATGGTTATAAGTGGAAAAAAAATCTATAAGAGTGTAAATGAAAAAGTGAATAGCACGAGTGTGTTTGGAGTTTACCAAAAAAATACATATATCGAGAGAAAAAACAAAGGCCCTCGGCAGTTTTTCTTCGAGCAAAATGATAAATTGCAAACTCAAGATTCATCCAAAACTGGAAAATAGAAGTTTCACAAAGTTGCTAATTATTTTTTTTTATGGTTCATTAAGTTGTGATGTGTTTACCATCCACAGATAGTTAAACAAAGCTATATTGACAGCACAAACCACAATTATTGAGAACACAAGCCACAATTTATCTCTGCCATTTTATTTTGCAGCAGGAATTCTATGCCTGATGTTGATCCAGATTGAGGCTGATAATGTGGGGATAGATAACAGAGCCACAGTATAGACGATTTCCTATCTTCATCGCGCTTGTAACCGAAGATAATTTGTGATCATGGTAGTGGGCAACTGGTTTTCCTTCCAAATCAACTACCAAGACACCTGCATTGTTACCCTTAGGTAGTCGTCCAATGTACTTCTCCATGATTGCCATGGCCTTTCGGATGAAAGGATATCTGAATGCTAAGTCAAAAATAACCGAATTTCCCTGCCCAATATGTACAACAATGCTTAAATTATCTGAAATTATTACGAAAAAAAGTAAGTAGATCTTATGCAATACAATTCTAATGGTTCAACCAATCCAGTATTACCGTGGCTAATCCAATCCAGTAGTGGCCGTCTCCGTCATATTTAATATTATCAGGGAAGCCCGGTAAATTATCAAGAAATTTCTCCAGGTGTCCCTGTTTGTTTCCCTGTATGTAGTATTTTCTACACCTTCTCCTGCAATTAAATTTATGATCAACCCATGTCAAAAAAATCACAATTAAAGTTAAACTCTTCGTCGACGTCGGACAATTAAATAGTTAGAATGGAAACAGAAGCCTATGTTAATAAAGATTACAAGATCAGCAGCAATGCAACATACATTACGGTTTCACATAAGATTGCAGAATCTTGATGTGGTGATACTGCAACTCCGTTAGCAAAGTAAAGATCGCTGACTAACACTCTGGTTTTTCTGGTAACTGGATCGAAGCTCATAAATCGACCATGAGGCTTACCCTCCAGCACGTCCCGAACGTGATCATGCATGTTATATTTGTATGAAGCGTCTGTAAAGTATATTATACCATTGTCTGCTATATCTACTCCGTCTGCAATTTTGAATTTCAGGCCATCAGCCTCATCTGTTAGCAGCTCCACCTCACGATCTCTGCTTATATTTAGCAGTCCCTGTTACATTAATCATCAATTTTGGTTTTTTCAAAATTTGATTTTGATTGCTTCCAGGTCAAGTGCTGACAGTACGAAAGGTAACTAACCTTATAAGCGTCAGCGACGATAATTTCACCATTGTATCCAAGAGCAACTCCTAGCGGTCTACCACGGGTGTTAACCAATTTTTCCACGCCTGAATCATTCAATCTGATTCGCTTGATCCACCCATCCTGACAACCCGTGTATATGAGCTGTGACTTGGAATCATATGCGATATCTTCGGGTCCCAGCAACTCCCCTGCACCCACGAACTCTGCTCCTTGTAGCATGCGATTGTTGTGCAATGAGACAATCATGGGTGCCTGACCAAACTCGTGGATGGGCATAGGAGCTGGATCAAATGAATCAAGCTGGAAGACAAGCACAGCTAATAGTACAGGAAACAATGTGGATAAAACAAGAGTGAAGGGCCATAACCTCTTTCTTGGGTGATGAGCAGCGTTAGAAAGCATAACTGATTCAGAACTTGAGATAGACATTGCAACGTTGTAATTCTGGACAGATTCTTAGTTTCCTTTATGGAGATTGAAAACATCAGATTTCATATGGTTGGGTGCTTTTTAAACCTCGGTTTCCCTACGCTTGTGGCTACCGATGATATTAAAAGTTCTATAACCTTTTTTGGGGTAATAAAAAATTCTATAGCATCTCGGATACTTCCACTATGTCCTATATGCCTAGCTCCCACAAACTTCAAACAAAAGCGGTTCTGATCTAAACCAATTTTATTGATCCAAGGCAAGGGTCATAGCAAGCTTCAAAGTCAACTTTTGGATATATTGATTTCATTTGGTATCCCAAAGTCGTATGTTTGCCAACTTTTAGTAAATGATAATTAATCAAAGTCATATGTTGCCCTCTAATCACTTCAAGAAATTGAACAAAATGTTTATTTATTATATCTAATAATGTCATCATAATCTGGAAACAGATGAAATTTTGATTAGTAACAGTCGTGGCATGATTTTGCATTTCTGGTTTCATGTCAGTGATGCTTTAATCATTCCAGTTGACGAGCTAGTTTTTGTATTTTAAGGTGATAGTGATTTTTTTTTAAATTTTTTATCAACGAATATATTCCTTTTTTTTTTTTTTGGGTTTGTTTTATGAAGGAATATATTCTTGAGTTAGGTTAAAAAGTTTTTATATGGTTAGTCTAATTTCTTTGAGGTTCCTTTATGTGTCTTCTTGACCATGATAAGTTGCGGATCAAATTTAATGGTCGGCCCCTTTGTTAATTTATTAGCTCTGGAGGAAAAATAATAAAGCACTTACTCAATTTCAAATTAATATATTTGGATTATGGTGGGGTTGGTGGCACAATTCCTAAACATTTCTCCTACTTTTATTAAGGCAAGAATATATGGTCAGATAATAGTTGGGTAAGCATCTTGATTGTTTAATTAGCATATTAACCATGATTGATCTTATAGTTAATTAATACAAGTACAATTAACTACTAACAACTTTGTTAATTGAAAATTAACTCAAATGAAATGATAGCATGAGTATTGAAATGATTCTTGAAAGTAGTGGGTTCAAAAATTTAAGCGACGGCATAATATCATTCTTATATATGTAAGGTTGAGGATTAAAGGTATATTAACAACATAAAAAGAAAAAACTACTAACAGGACAAATGGTTGTTGGATGCCCTAATACTAGTTCGAAGTTCCTGTTTCTTCAGTGCATATATTATTGAGACTTGACTCCACAGGGAGAAAAGAAAGGAGTACTCTATCCACTACGTTCCAATAGCTCAATAGTAAGTAGGTAACAGTGAAGACCTTGTAAGCATAATTTTAAAAATTTAAGAATTGTATATGAATATTAGAATATCAAATTTAATTTTATTGTGTATCTATTTGGATAGGCATAATCGTCAAGCGAAAGCAATTGCAGTTTGTTGAAATTACTAGGTCTTCCTCTTCGCTCTTCAGCTACTCCTGATGGATAGATACTGTTAAATTAGAAGTAAAGAAGGGACCTTTACCAATTTATATTAAAACCTTAAAAACCTCCCCATCAAAGATTTATTGGACCAACGGCCTATACAACCACTAAACCACACTAACCCTATAAGATGTAAAAAGCCCACACGTAAGTGATTATAATTAATTATTTGGGCTTTTATACTTATTTTGTATTAGAACTAAATTTATCAATTTGTTTTATTAAATATTAAAATTATTAATTAATAGTAGCCTACTTATTGAAAAATTTTAACATTCTCTTACTTGGACAATATTAATTAAGTTGTTTGATTTTAAGGAAACCTAATTTAGAAAAAAAGACTTCTGGCTTATTAACTTTACTTTGATGTGATCATAGTTTTAAAAATAATTTAGCCCTTGAGACAACATCTTAATGATCCTGTCCAATAAAACCATCCACTACTAAATCATGGCAATCTTTATGTCCTTTATTGACACATTATAAGTACCAAAGACTATCGACAATAGATCTCAGTGTGGTTGTATAGCAAAAAAATAACACCTAAATGTGATCTTACTATGTTATTTTCATTGTCAGTCCTTTTGCAAAATTCTCTAAACTTGTTGAGAAATCTCTAAGGTATGCAGTTGTGCCTATATGTATCCTTTTTATCCTCAAAGTTACTTGTTGGTATCACTTATGAGACATATCTAAATGACATTAAAGTTGTACTTAAGACAAATACCAAGTCTTAAGATTTTATAATGTGACATGTCAATATGACATGTGCACATGCAATCAGATAAACATATATACAAACAACTACTATGATTTATATATATATATATATATAAAACAATTGTATCCACTTAACTTGATGGTACCTTATGGACTTACTCATTTCAAATTATATCTTTTAGGTAATTAGCAATCAATGCGATGCATTTAACAAAGTAAAAAAATCTAAAATAAAAATGGTTTCAAAAGCAAATTTACGATGTATCATTGCCATAATCAACCCAATACCTTAACAAGTTCTATTTTCCATACCCATAGAAAGCCATATTATGAGCTTGGTAATACTATAATCCTTACATAGAGAAAATAATATGTCATTATTTAATCAAATCACAATGACTCCCATTGATCCAACGAATCACAAACATACTCTAATCAAACTTTGAATAATCATAAGGAGCACTTCAATAAATGAAGAAATAACAAAATTATGTATTGTTTGCCCTCATGCCAAATATGATAACCACTATTGTTTTTGGACTTCATGATGTCACTTTAATAAACCACTTACAAATTACTAATATATTATGAACAAATCTTCATACTCATATGTTCATACAACACAAAATTCTCAATGTTTTAACATTAGATCATTTTCAATAAATTTAGAATTAATTGAATAACCAATCTCTTATATCTAAAACATGTCTTAATTAATAGCCTATTAACTCCCACTAATCTTAACACATGATATCTCCAAAACAATAACTTTAGGGCATTTATGAGTTCTTACTATTTAAAAATATATGCAGAAGAACTCCTATTGATTTTCACTTCCTTTGACAGAATAGTTTTGGCATTAATAAAATTATAATAATGATAACAATAAAAATTAATACCTTGTTATTATCATTTTTTGAAATCATTCTCAAAATTATAATAAAAATTAAAACCTTGTTATTATCATTTTTTGAAATCATTCTCAAAATTAGTTTATATATAATTCAAAATAAGGGAAATGAAATGTAAGAAAATTATAAAATTCTTGTTCTCTCTTAAAAGTAAATTTGGGAAAGATTATCAAGAAAGGAATTGAACTAATAAAACAAAACAAATAGTTTTGCGTATTTTTACAAAACTTCATTCCTCAAAACTCTCACATGTGTGATAAATGTAAAACAATGTTCTCCCCTTTACGTGTGAGTTTCCTTAAAAGAAAATATTAAAATTTTTTAAAAACATATTGTCAAAAAATGACGACAATATGCCCTTTAAAATTGATAACTACTAGGTTTGATAATAGTAACTAAGATAATCAAACCAATATCTTAATTGAGAGTTAAATAACTAAAACAAATATTTATTAAATTATATTTCATCAACTTTTAATTTTACTTAAGTCAAATTGAGGTATCATAACCAGTTTAAAACTTTCTTGTATGAAGGCTAACCTTTTGGCTATCATAAAACACTATACAGTAAATGTACATCCCCATATGTGATAAATTAAAGTGACTAACAATTTACGCATTTACTATGTTGTATAAAACATCCAAGAACTTATCACTCATGGTAGACATTAACTTATGATGACTTTTTTCCTAACACATTGAAATTGAGTACAAAGGCTAATCAATGATCTAAGCAGATAAGACTTTAATCAAATTAGTATTTTTACTAGTATTATCAAAACAATCAAGATTCCACATCATAAATTTAATTTTAGACATTTTTTTAAAAGAAAACATTATTCTTTTGTGTCACCACACTTTAAATAATGAAAAATACAAAGACTTTAAAAAATATATACCTTTAGGCAAATAAATTTTCTAGGTCTATGTATATTTCATTTCATAAAAATATTTCATAATATAATCACCCCCTTTAGAAGGTAATAATATGTAGTAACTTAAAAACAATCCTATAACAACATAAGAAACTTTTTAATCATTATAGTTCTATTGACTTTTCTTATACCTATTTATATATGTAATCACTCCAAGCAAGATGCTAATTTAAATGTATATCTATGGATCACTATAGATTAAAACTTGGAATGCTCATTATCATTTTATACACCTTAAAAATTTTCAAGTGATGCTCCAGAAATCATGCTTTCAATCAATACAAATACTTCGCATGCCATAATACCAAGTAAATTGTTTTAACAATCAATAATATATTTATATGTCATTTCAATCTTTTAAGTATGACTACAAGAAATTTTAAAATTATAAATTGAATGGCCATAAAAAAAAATCTTTCATGCAGATACTTTATATTTACATGAGATTCAACAAAATACACAATTTTCATACCATAAATCTCAACATAACAATATATAATGAATACCAATAATGCATATTTTTTAGACAATTATAGACATCTCATTTTGTTCAAAATTTTTTTCAAAATCTAAAATGGGTTTTAGTCATAAATTAGGCCCGATTGGGAAGCTTCGAACCTAATAAAAAAATTTTAATTTTAATTTGATTTAATTTGATTTATAGTTTAATTTTATGTTTTTTTCAAAAACTAAAAAAAAAAAGTTAAGAGTTAAAAAAAAGAAAAAAAAAGGGGAAGGAACATCAAATTTGGCTTGTGGGATTCAATTCCAAAAATTTTTCCTAAGTAAAAGGAATCAAATCACAAAAATAAATCAAGCAATTAAAAGATTTAAAAAAAAATCTTTGACAATCTCTAATAATCAATGGAAACCCAAAAAAATCTTTGACATTCAATGGAATTCTAAAACTTCTAACTAGAAAATTCTTATAAATCCTATTCGAACACAGACAGAAAAGGGGTAGAAAATTGAAAATGTTCCAAGGATTATGGGTTTATGTTTCGAGGAGTTTTCTAGGTTTTGATTTTTTCTAAACTT